GTGATTCATCGGCCCGGCCCGGCCTGTTTGTGTTCGGCTTTATTTGTGAAGGTCTGACCCGCCGGGGAAAAACATTCCCTCCCAGCTGCGCCGGCGGCACCGGGGATGGAGCGGGAGGGCGCTGGTTTCCAGAGATCCAGGGGAAATATTCCAGCCGGGAGCAGGCAGGGATGGCCGCGGAGAGGGCACAGCCCGGCCTGGGGTCCCGGGGCAGGGGGAAGGAGTGTCCCCACTGCCCGGGGGTGGGGCACTGTCCCCAGGGTGCAGGTTCCACCCCAGCTCTGGGAATGTCTCGATGGGAAGGACCCACCCAGTGGCATCCCCTGCTCCTGCAGCCCCCAGGACATCCCTGGGAGCCCCATCCCTGTCCCTGGGGTTGGACTGGGGGGTTTTGGCACGTTCCCTCTGGTGCCTGTTCCGTCCTTGCAGGGGAGCCAAGAAATCTCTTAACTAAACAAACACTTCCCCAGTGGCATCTGTTTATCCCCCAGGCACAGACAGTGCCCAGGGCTGCCCTGGCCACAGCCCAGCCTGTTCTCTCCACAAAAACCAGGCCTTGAGGGCCAGCAGAGCCGGGTTTTGGGAAGGCAGAGATGCCCCAGCATGGACACCGTAGAGCCCTGGGATGGGGATGGGGAGGAGGAGGATGAAGAAGAGGAGGAGGAAGAGGAGGAGGAGGAGGAGGACACCAGCCTGGCTGCACACTGGGGTGTTTGGACTTGGATTTGGGGGTTCCAGGCCCTGGATGAAGCCACAGTGCTATCCTGCCCCCGAGAGGGTCCAGGGAGGGATCACCTGCCTCTCCTCCTTTCCCGGGAATCCCAGGATCCTGCAGGCCTGGGGGAGGGGCAAGGCCGGTGTGTTCCCGGGTTGGGGAGCAGGGAAGGGGTTAAACTGCAATTTACGGTGAGATCCTTCTCTGTGCAGCAGCTTTGATGCCAGGGATGTCAGGGATTCCTCTGCCTTCAGGGACCTGTTGGGAGCACTGGCTTTTCTCCGGGGGAGTGGGGGCGTCCCACAGAATTCCAGACTGGTTTGGCTTGGAAGGAACCTTAAATCCCAGTCCACCCCTGCCATGGGCAGGGACACCTCCCACTATCCCAGGCTGCTCCAGCCTGGCCTTGGACACTTCCAAGGATGGGGCATCCTCTGAGAAATCCATTCCAGCCCCTCCCCACCCTCCCATCCAAGAATTCCTTCCCAATATCCCATCTATCCCTGCCCTCTGGGAGTGGGAAGCCATTCCCTGTGTCCTGTCCCTCCATCCCTTGTCCCCAGTCCCTCTCCAGCTCTCCTGAGCCCCTTTAGGCCCTGGAAGGGGCTCCAAGGTCTCCCTGCCGTGTCCCAGAGCTGCTGGTGCTGGCTGTGCCCAGGACAGGCTATGCCAAGGGTCAGGGACTTGGAAAAATCACCAGGAATTCCTTCTGCCCTTCTCCCAGACCCTCCCAGCTCAGCCCTTCCCTCCTCCTCTGCCTTTGGACACCAGGAGCAGATTGTGCTGGGAGAACTTCAGGCGTTACAAGCAAGAAATTCCATGTCCCCATTTCCTTGGTTTTTTGCTCAGTGATAACCTGGGGGCTGATTTTGGGGAGCCCAGGGCTGGGGACAGCAGTGTCACCCGTGTCCCTGGCTGTGGCTTCTCCCCTGCCTGAGACGTGGCCAGGCCGGTGTGGGGAGTGTTGGGCTCCAAACTGGGCAAACCCACAGGGAATCCAGCTGGAAACCGCTTGGGAAAGGTGGGAAAGCACCTGGGGCTCACAGGGGGATGGGCACTAAATCCAGCCCTGGTTGGGAAGGGGATTCAAACAAGGAGAACTCACGGGAGGTGGGACAGGAGGGGCCTCCTGCAGCTCAGTGGGTTCCCATGGGACACAGCTCTGGAGCTCTGGAGCCCTTTGGGAAGGGGCTGGAGGCAGCAGGAGAGCAGAGGTGCCCTGGAGAGCTGCATGGGGCTCTGAGGAACCCTTCCCTGGAGCCTTGGCTGCGTCAAACCTTCCGCTTCCCAAGGCTCCAGGACGCTCCCGTGGGATGGAGGGGCAGGCCTGGGGGCAGTGAGACCGGGGTGGGAAACTCCTGTCTCTGTAACTCCGAGGTGTTCTTCCCTCTTTAGGAAACCAGGCTGAGCGAGAGCAAAGGAGACAAAAATGAAGAAGAAAAGGGAAAGGAAACTCCCCCCAAAGACCTGGCCCAGAAACGAGACCCCAAAGTGGGCAAAGACTCCAAAAAGGAGGAAAGTGTTCAGAAAACAGAGCCCAAAGGTAAAGCTGAGCCTGAGCCCAAGAGCAAAGAGAGCAAAGCCATGAACGATAAAGTGAAGGCCATGGAGAAAAAGCTGATGGGGAAGGACAAGAAGGAGGAAGAGAAGAGCTCAGTGCTGAAGAAGGACACGGGGAAGGACCACAAGGAGGAAGAGAAGAGCTCAACGTTGAAGAAGGAGGCAGGGAAGGATAAAAAGGAGGAGAAGGGCTCTTATGTAAAGAATAAGGATGCAGGGAAGGAGAAAAAGGAGGAAGAGAAGGGCTCAGCAGCAAAGGATACAGGGAAGGACAAAAAGGAAGAAAAGGTTTCAGCATCCAAGAAGGACACCGGGAAGGACAAAAAGGAGGAGGAGAAGAGCTCAGAACCAAAGGGACAGGTGGAGAAAGCCACGGGAGGGGAAGGGGAGAAAGACAAAGACAAAAAAGAAGAGGAAAAGGGTTCAGCTGGGAAAACAGCTAGGGCGGAGGAGAAGGAGAAACCCCGGGCAGAGGCAGAAAAGGCGGTGGCGGAGAAGCGGGAGGGCAAGGCGGGACCCCCCAAAGCCGCGGAACCGCCCAAGGACGACGAGGCCTCGAGCATCTTCGACGAGCTCATCGAGAAGGTGAAGAACAACGACGCCGAGGTGACCGAGGTGAACGTCAACAACTCCGACTGCATCAACAACGAGACCCTGGTGCGCTTCACCGAGGCCCTGGAGTTCAACACCGTGGTCAAGGTGTTCGCCCTGGCCAACACCCGTGCTGACGACCACGTGGCCTTCGCCATCTCCATCATGCTCAAGTCCAACAAGGTGCTGACCAGCATCAACCTGGACTCCAACCACATCACGGGCAAGGGCATCCTGGCCATCTTCCGAGCGCTGCTGCAGAACGACACCCTGACCGAGCTGCGCTTCCACAACCAGCGGCACATCTGCGGCGGCAAGACTGAGATGGAGATCGCCAAGCTGCTCAAGGAGAACACCACCCTGCTCAAGCTGGGCTACCACTTCGAGCTGGCCGGGCCGCGCATGACCGTCACCAACCTGCTGAGCCGCAACATGGACCGGCAGCGGCAGCGGCGCCTGCAGGAGCAGAAGCTGGCGCAGGAGAGGGGCGAGAAGAAGGACCTGCTGCAGGTGCCCAAGGCCGGGGCGCCGCCCAAGGGGTCCCCCAAGGCGTCCCCGCAGCCGTC